CCACTGGCATGGAAGATGGATCTCCATCCCTTCACTTTCAGTCTGGATGTATCTTTAGGTTCAAAATGAGTCTCTTGTAGACAGCATATGGATGGGTCCTGTCTTTTTATCCAATCTGCAACCCTGTGCTGTTTTATGGGAGCATTTAGGCCATTCACACTGAGAGTGATTATTGAAAGATATGAATTAATTGTGATCATGTTGCCTGTGTGACGTTGTTTTTATAGATTGTCTCTGTAAATTTCTGTTGTATATCACTCTTGGGGTCTTTCTCCTTTTATAGGACCCCCCTTAATATATCTTGCAGGGCCAACTTAGTGGTCACATATTCTTTCAGTTTCTGCCGGTCCTGGAAGCTCTGCATCTCTCCATCCATTCTAAATGACAGCCTTGCTGGATAAAGTATTCTTGGCTGCATGTTCTTCTCATTTAGTACCCTGAATATGTCTTGCCAGCCTTTCTGGCTTGCCAGGTCTCTGTGGATAGGTGTGACGTTATCCTGATGTTCCTCCCTCTGTACATAAGGAATCTCTTCTCCCTAACTGCCCTTAAGATGGTTTCCTTGGTTCTAAGATTTGCAAGTTTTACTATGACATGCAGGGGTGTTGGCCTGTTTTCCTTGATCTTGGGAGGGGTCCTTTCTGCCTCTAGGATACGAATGTTTGTTTCATTCCCCAGATTAGGGTTGTTCTCAGCTATGATTTGCTCAAATACATCTTCTAGTCCTCTCTCTCTCCACTCCCTCCGGGATTCCAATTATTCTGATATTGGAATGCTTCATGGTGTCACTTATTTCTCTGATTCTATTTTTGTGGATTCTGAGTTGTTTTTCCCTGGCCTCCTCTTTTCCCTTTTCATCTATTAAATTGTCTTCCAGGTCACTTATTCGTTCTTCTGCCTCACTTACCCTAGCTGTTAGATTATCTAGATTAGATTGGCTCTCATTGATAGCATGTTTAAGTTCTGCCAATTCAGCTTTCATTTCTGCCCTTAGAGACTCTATGTTGCCATTGATTGATTTCTCCATTCTAGCCATTGTCTTCACAATTGCTAGCCTGAATTCCATCTCTGACATCTTGGTTATATCTGCATCCATTTGTAAATCTGCAGCATTCGTCATAATCTCTGAGTCTTTTCTAATTTGGGGGTTCCTCCTCCTAGTCATTCTGTTGATGGGTGGTTGAGGGAATTATTGACCAGAACCCAAGCAAGATGCACCTGTTTTCTAGGGATCTTAGGGTTGTTGGCCTCTTGTTTTCCCAGCCTGTCTTCTGGGGGAGGAGCCTGCCGCACTGTTACTCAGGCAACCCTGTTTGGGCAGAGTTGTCCTGCCCCCCTGTGGCGGGGGATGGGCTCAGTGGGAACCAGTTTTGGGGGCTTTTGTTCTCTGGCGGCTTTCCCTGGCGGCTTTCTGTGTCTCTTCTGCAAGTCAGAGGAGAAGAGACTGTTTCTAACCCTCTGCCTCAGAGCAGAGAGATCACAGTCTGCTCTTCAGTGAGCTCTCCAGGCCACACTGTCTCTGTTTCTGTCTGTGCTGCTATGAACTGCAGTGTTCTGGGTTGTGTGCCCTTCATCAATGCTCCCAGTCTTCGCCTCCAGGTTGGGGCATGTCTCTGCCCTTTGTGCTTCTAAAACCGCCAGCTGCTCCCAGTTCTCACGCGCGACCCCACCACTCTGGGTTTCCGTCCTGGGGGCTGCCCTAAAGTCCTTTCCCCGCCGCTACCGGTCTGCGAGTCTGTGCCCCGTCTCCAGCATGCGAGGCTGTTGCTCACTGGCGGTGTAGGATTCCCCACGGCCAGGCTCCCTCCTGCTGCCATTTATCCTCCAAAATCTGCTCACGGAATCACGGCTCCCCGCTTCATACCTTGAAACCAACCGCCCGCGATATTCTTTTTGTGGAGATCCAGATCTATTTTCTTACATCTCAGGCTGATTTCGTGGGTGTTCAGAGTGGTCTGGTAGATATCCAGCTCAATTCTGGGACTGGTTGGAATAGGGTCCCTTACACCTCTGCCATCTTTTCTCCCACACCTGAAAGCATTTTCATACAGAAAATGAAAGGCTGTTTCTTAAATGACCCTTATCTAGACGTCCTTCCGGATATCATGGCATCATTTTATGAGCATTGTGAGATCCTTGCCAATGCAAGGCAGTGCTAATCCCCACTCAAAATTCGGTAAAAACAGAAGAAGTCACAGGAAGGACTTTTCCAGATGCTGCTCTGAAAAGAGTCAGACCACCTTCAGAGCCTGTGCTCTCATCAGAGCCCACCCGCACCTGTCCATTTCCCGCCGCTCTGGCCTTCCTGGGGTGGGAGGGAGAAGCATCTCCCTCTCTGCCCGGCCCCTCCAGTCATCCCCTCCCGCTGCGTTGGGGCTGCCCCGCCCAAAGCCTCTGTCTCCCTGCCTTGTGGTCTCTGCTGTTCTCCATCAGCCCGGATGCACGTTCCCTGGAGTCTAACCATGTGAACCGGAGCCATCAGCATGTACTTGAACTACTTCTGTAATTGGATTTATGTCCCACGTTGCACTGAAGCTGGTTCCTGGAACATTAGCACCACCAGCCCAACTCCCTCACCTCCCAGCCTCTTTCCCACTGTTTCTCCTTTCTTGAAATCCTTTGCTCTCATGGCTTCCAGCCCTCATGCTTCTCTGCATGTTTGCTTCTTCCTTCACCCGTCCTACTCATCTCCCCCAGGTCACAGGTCACCTTGATGTCACGCACCTTGAACGCCGGCCCCTTTCCTGCTTCCCGAGTGCGGTACAGCTGGGGCTCTCCTCGAGCACCGGTGGTCACTTCCCTGCATGTGGGCTTCTCGGAGCGCAGCGCACCTTTCCAGGGTGGTTTTCCCTGTGGAGATGCCCACATGCTGAGACGTTTGCTCTTCCTTTCTCTCCATGGTTTGGGATCTAGAGAGATTCAGGGGGTGTGTGACCAACGTATGCCTCCAAGAATTACATTTTTTATTGGCACACAGTTTATGTATGGGGCATAAAGTAGTTGTCCGTTCACCTGTCTGAGGAGTTTTGTGCAGGTCTTTGTGTGGACACTGCATTTCTCTTGGGCTAACACGGAGGAGTGAGGCTGTGGGTGTGCAGGCTGGCGTGGGTTTAGCCTCACCGGAAACTGCTAACAGGGCTCCGTGCTGGCTGTGCCACTGGCCAGTGTGGCATTGAGTCTTTGGCACCCACACGCGTGCACAGATGACAGTGATGGGAGCACGCCGAGCGGGGCGCGGCTCCGGAAAGGCACGCACTGTGTGCCGGCGAGGAGCTTGGACTGTGACATGAGCATCTGTGTGCCCTGGTGTCCTTGTCTGTGGAGCGGGGACAGTGATAGTTGTGTCTTTGGAGGTGGACAGGATGACACATCCGTGTGCGGTGAGCCTGTGTCATCCTCATTAACCTCCCTGTGTGATGATCAGACATGACAGGTGCCAGAGAGTTGTGGCCCTTGTGGGTCCCCTTAGCCACTAATCCAAACGGTAGATGCGAGGAGGAAGCCCTCCAGTGCTATTCACGAGAGCGTTTCATGTGAGCGTGTCCTGCAGGGAGACTGGTGGAGCGGTGAGGCTGGTGCTGAGTCCTCGCTGGAAGGGCAGCGAGTCCGAAGAGGCCCTGAGTCCTCTGTGGACAGTCGAGGTCATAGGCGGCCTCATAGAACAACACACAAGCTTAGAGTCAGAAAAACCCGGTTAGAACGTCAGTGTTGACCCCGATGTCCATACCAGTCACGTGCTCTCTGTGTGTCCTACTTCCCTGGTGTGAATATGAGGGTACCTGATGTTTGTCTGTGAAACGAGCTGTAGGCGGTGATGAACCGCACAGTGTGACTTGCTGGGCCAGGGGTTCTCAAAGTGGAGTCCTGGGGCAGCAGCAGTGGCCCACTTTGGGAACTGTTAGGAGCTGCTTTTCAAATAAGCACATCTGGGTCAGAAGAAAAAATCCATACTTTTGATCTCTCCACTCCAAGATACATGTGATATCTACGTGTAGACTTTATTTCAGAAACCACTGTTTACCAATGACAGGATCAGCTGGGAGTTCTAAATTTGAAGGGCTCATTTATACATTAAAATAGGTTTTTTTGTGGAAAAGGAATCGCCTATATGTCTTGCTTCTGCAATGATGTGGCATTTCTCTTTATTACCAGTAGAGTCTACAGAATACTTGTTTGCACATTTTGTTACTTACAAATTCGAATGGATCTCTCATCTCTTATATCACATCAGCATGGTATCCAACCCCAGGTTTCTGTCCCTAAAATGAAGTGTCTGGTGGCGTCTATGTGTATATTTATACACATACACATCTTTTCATATGGTAATACAATTAGAGAGGAATGTAAGTTTTTATTTTTATCAACAGCCATAGAAAAAGTTCAAAATACTTGAATTCCAGGCTAATTAGTAGGAAGCAAAGAGTAGGAGGTTTTGTCTCAAGTTTATGGGAAAGGACAGTAAAACCCCACTTTTTCACTCAGTTTGGGACTTGCAGGTAAGGTTGGGCTATGGAGGCAGGAGGGGCCGTGATGAAGACCCGACAAGGCGAGGGGAAGAAATGCATGGGTCGTGGAGTCGGTTGTCCGGCTCGGGGGCACCGGTCTGTCAGGTGACCTGCATCTGCGATGTCACCTGGCCACAGGGGAGCTGCTACGGTGCGCGTCCTCACTGGCTGTTGGTCCTTTCAGCAGGGAGTCCCATGTGTTTGTCTTGCAGGTGTACATGTATGACGTGGGTTCGAGCACATTTTCTCACAGACTGGCTGGACACACGGACACCGTCACTGGTGTGGCCTTCAGCCCGTCAGCCCCCCAGGTATAGTCTTCTCGTTGGGGGGGCGCTTCTACTCCCTACAAGGCTTTCCTCGCATTTTCTGTATCTGCTGGCCTTTGTTTTGGTGAAATGCTGTCATGTTTAAGGTGACACGCCAGTTTCTATCACGTGCAGGGAGGCGGCCATGGGAGCGCAAGCGTGTTCTCTCTAAACATGTTCGTCATTCAGCGCACTTGCTATGACTGTGGAAAATGTGGCGTGTCCGTGGGCACTAGTGTGAACGCTGCAGCTGGCAAGTCCCAGAGCAGCTGTGGAAAGGGTGTAGAAGAGTCTCATGCACAGAATTAGGGCGGGGGAGGAGGAGGACCACAAAATTTAAAGGCATTCGTGTAATTAGGAGAAATGATGAGGAGAGAGTTGCACCACCTGCAACTCAATCACCCGGGAAAGTGTGCGGTCTTGCCTTAAAATACCAATTGTCAAAACTTGGTAGTGTGAGTATTTGGGAATGTCGATTCAGAGCATAGCGTTACCATGTGATTGCATGGGTCAGCCTGGCTCATGCACGCGTCCATGTGTGATGGAAGTGGGGACGCACCTGCTCTCCCCATGCTCTGCTGCGTTGGAGGCGCCTTGGACGCTCGGTCATGTCTGGCTTCTGGTGACACTGGATGTCGGAGGCACAGATGCGACGGGCTGGTCACGTCATCGACCACAGAGCCCCGTCTGTCCATGGAGGCCTTCACGTGGCTCATTCCACGTTAACCGTGAGGTAGCCGCGCAGTCCACTGCGGGGGGGCGTTCGGGTTCAAGTGTTGTACGCATGTGTGATTATGATTCGCTTGCCCGGACATAAGGCCGTGCTGCGCGGACCACAGGGGCCCGCCTTTCGCACTGATGATATTAGCTATGGCCGCAGTTGCGTTGCTGCTTGACTCCTCTGCCTGACCCGGCGCGGGTGAGGGGAAGGGGTGTCCAGGAGGGAAGGAGCGCAGACAGGACGCAGGTGAGAGGTGTGCAAGGCGAGGGGCAGAGGGCGGGGCGCCGTGACCCGCAGGTGGAGGGTGATGTCAGTGGTTCTGAAAATCGAGTACGGACGTAAAGATGTCTTCTGGCATAATGGACTGAGGAGCTGCTCTGAGCGCCTGACTGTTCTCAAGTACAGTCAGGAGGAAGAACGGGAGGTGAGAGGAACAGGCGCCTCCCGATCACTGATCCCTGATGCGGCGGTGAGGGAGGTCGTGCGGGAGCCGGTTTCCTGCCTCTGAGTCTTAGGAGACCCGGTAGCCACACAGAACAGGAATGAACGTTCCAAACATTAACGTGCAACACCACAGTTCACTTTTATAAAATTGCTGTTGGGTTTTGGAACGGTGATAAAGCCATTCAGTGCTGATTATCTTTGCATGCGGAAATTCGTAACAAAAAGTCTCACTGTTCCAAAAGTTTTGCATTTTGTCCGAACACGGTTATCAGAAAGATCTCTGTGAACACTTCTTCAACAATGACCTCAAGATATGTTTAAAAGTGTCTGTTTTGTAGTATGATATTTGTTTGGTTTTAAGACACACAGTAGCTCTTCACTAACATTTCCAAAATTGGAGTGAGACTCAGAATACTCCTGCTTTCTTTAAGTGTGTGTTCTTCTGTTTTACAAGATCACTGGTGTCCATCGACTGAAGTACTTGACTCAAGCTTCTCTTCTAAGAAATCTATTAAATCGTCCATCAAAACCACAATTTGATATTTTTATTTGTAGAAAAAGACTCCTCTGAGTTCTAATCATATCAACATTTAACTTTTAACATATGAACACATTAGCATTTGAAACGCATGTTCAGGTGCAGAGGATGGCCCTGTGTGTGCTGGGAAGGCCGGGGGTTCGAGTCTGTGGGTTACGGAGTGCTGCTGTACCAGCCAAGGAGGGCGGGTCTGCATCTCCGGGTGATGGTGCGCGCCTCTGTGTCTGGGCAAGAGGGTGCAGAGCGCTGCGTGTGTGGTGGGCATCTAGAAACATGCCCCCTCCTTATAAGAGGAGACAAGACAGGCTTCCACAGGCATGTGACGGGGGAAACAGGCATGGGTGTGGTGGAGCCTGATTGCCCCGGACCTGCAGACTCAACACAGCAGCTAACATGGCTGCCTTCCTTCCTCTGCCCGCTTCTTTGCCTTCTTATGTTTCTTCATCACACGAATTCTGGGTGACTCCCCTCCACTCGAATCATGCTTGCACAGATCAGCCATTAACCTTTAAGCTTTTTTCCCCTGGTCCTTGGTCAGCCCCACCCCCCACGGTGGCTCCTGGTGCTGAGTCATGCCCGGGATGGTGCTGGACTTGCAGGTCCAGGGAGGAAACCCACCGGTGCCCACACCTGCTGAGTGCTGGGTGCCGCGCTCCCCAGAGTCGCGACCTCATTAGGGCAGGGATCACGAAAACCCTGCAGAGTATGCACTACTTTTGCCATATCACATCTGGGAACTTAATTTAAGGAGGGCCCTTGTCCAAAGTGGCCGGCATGGTCGGAGGAGGTGGTACCAACCTTACGCCAGGGACACTGCATGACTTTTGGAAAAGCAGGAGATAGATGACTTGACTAGGTTTTTGTTAAATAAATTTTGAGAAATATCCCCTCTAAAAATCAAAGTTTTGGTCCCCTTGGAATACTACTAGCTATGGTTAAAGTAGTAGTGTTTTTCACCAGGGCTATTGCTCAATTATCAAAATAAGACTTGTGAGTCTTTTGGAAGAAGACTGTGTTATACTAATGAAATTATTCTCACAAGGCATGTGGCTAAGAGAGGACTCTGAAAATGAGCAGGAATCCTGACAGCTCAGGAGGGAGTGTGGGTTCAGACCCCAGAGACCATGGCAGCGCCTTACGTCCTGCTGGGAAATGTAGCCAAGTCCCCATGGCCCACGCTTGGCTTGAAGGCTGTGCCATCAGCTTGCGCCACTGGTATTCTTGTCACAAGACACGTCCATTCAGATGTTTAACTGTTTAGGGTGGGAACGAACATCCAGAAAGCACCCCAGTGACCTGGCTGAGACTGTGGCCAAGAGGTATGAGGAATCCAAATCAGGTGCTACAGAAGAGAGAGGACTGGGGTGTGAGCCAATGGGTTCCTGGTTTGAAGGAGGGGGGGCTACCAGTCAGAGGAGTTTAGGAAGAAAGGTTGGGGAAATTGTGAAATTTGGTTTAGCCATGGAGGAAGGCTGCTCCATATGAAGACAGAAATAGGTGGAATTTGTTGGAATGTAACAAAAAGTCACAATTATAATTTTCATGTTATCAAACTTACCTTATGTTAGTATCATAATCATCAATTTTATCTTGTGTCAAGTATGAAATAATAAGAGCATTGATGTAAGATAATATAAAAGCTCTTTCTTATTGATAGTGGGCAGTGAGGCTGTATTTCCCATTTTACAATTCTGTGTCATGTGGGGCTTGTTTGGGGAAGTTTTGCTCGGGTCTTCCTGGCCATGCCAAGTTGCATTTAGACCCTGTCTAATGCTGCCTTAGAACACGAGGTGGAGACGTGGAGCTCTCCAATAGCAAGTGTAGACAAGAAGTAGAAGAAGGCAGGTACATGTGTTCAGGGTCCAGTCTACACAGCATGGTTCAGGCTACAATTCAAAATACCCCAGCAAGGGAAGAAAGGAGGACCAAATGTGGAAAGTGTGCAGGATGGCATGGTGACTGTTCTCCTCCTAGGCCCACAGCCCCTGGTGTGGAGAAAGAGAAGGAAAAAGTTAAGAAATGGAAATCTGAGAACTTCCTGTTTTCCTTTAAGATCATGATACTTCACAGTGGACATTTAGGCTGTTTCCAGTATCTTGGGTATTATAAGTAATATTCAGATGTACATCCTGAGTGTGCAGTGTTTTCTATGTCTGGATTTATTTTCTCAAGATAGGTTATTAAAAGTAGTGCTACTGAGTAAAAGAGCAAAAACTTTGCAAGGGTTCTAATATGTACAGAGAAACATTTTTCAAAATGTTCCCCATTGCTTGTTTCCTTACCAGGTTAGATTATTAACACTTTCATTATCTTCGTTAAGTTCATTATCAAGAAATGGTACCTTATTACTTTAATTTGCCTTTTTTAATATATTATGAAGATTGTACATTATTCCATATGCTATTAATTATTGGAGTTTTTTCATTTTAAAATTGCTTGTTTATCCTTCATATCTTTATCTTTTGGACCCAATTTAAACTTGACTTTTTGTCCTTTGTATTTACAGTATTTTTTTGTAGATTCAGTTTTGCTTTTTATTTTGTTGTTTTCTCTTTCAAGTATAAAACTTGGATTTCTTCTAATCACTCTAGGCCTAGAAAGTTTTTTCTCTTCAAAATTTATCTCTCTGATGAAATTATGGTAGAATCTTTCACATAAGATTGTAATTTTTAAGTTCCCTGGCTGACAGTTCCAATATCTAGGTTATATCTGAGTCTCATTCTGTTGATTGTTGTGTCTCTTGACAGTTGGTTCACCTACCTTTCTTTTGATGTGTTGTAATTTTTGAATGAATGCTGGATGTTGACTGTGGAAGGACATAAGGATGTCTGGACAAACATGTCTCTTTTTCTGCTAGGCTGTTGGTTTGGTAGGGTTAGGAGTTGAACCAGGTGCCATGCACTTTAATTATTAAAACTTTGATTATAGTAAGGTCATTAGAATTGGTACAGATCATTATACAAATAGAAGCACTCAGACAATATTGTATTCTTCCCAAGTCATCTTTTGTCAAACCTTTTAGAAAATTTTATTTACTAAAGCATATGAGGATGAAATTTAAATCTACATGTTTTAAATAGGCCACCTTACTTTGAGAGTTGTGTTTAGCTCTGCCAATGAAAAATAACTTAAGTCTATATCTGGGAAAGGGTTATTTTCCTTGTTTTTTTAAATTGAATAAAAGTTTGCTGGCTCCCCTAGAATGGTAACCCCACTGGCTTCTCTTGTGGTTGAAATTAATACACAGGTGAAGTATGTCAAGCCCACAGTATTAACAGTTTGCTGTGAATTTAGGAATAATCTGAAAATAATTAATATTTTAGGTATTTGTTATGTTTTAAGGATTTTGATATATTAAAATATTTGATTCCAGCTTGAAATATGAATTGACTTAGATTTGTGACTTTTTAGTTGAGAAAAATGAGAAAATTTAGTTGAGAAAAATGAAAAAATTTCATTCAATTGTGAATAGCATTTGAATTTTTAAGAGAAATTGAGATTCACCATATTTATAAGTTTACTTTCTTAGATTTGGGAGAATTGGGAGCATTTTGCTTTTTAACTTTTTTTCCATTTAAAATATTCAGGAAAATTTAACACATTTGA